TGTTCTCTGAGCTGATTCCACCTGGAATTTTTCCTTCAATTTCTATTTAAGTTTCGAGGCCTAGCTCAATTACCACCTCATCCTTGAAGCCTTCTGATTCTCTCTGCCAAGAGAAAGGACTCTTTCCTATGAACCTGGAAATAATTTTATTTGTATATTCCGTACAGCATTTATCAATTCCTTCCTCTGGTTTTTGTTACTTATTGAAAAAAGTATGCCCTTCTCATTAGACTGTAGGCAAGTTTCCAGAGGTCAGAGACCCTGTCTTAAACATTCCTGTGCTCCCCACCCTCGCTAATAGTATATGTGATTTCAATGAATGTTAAATGTTGAATGACTGATTTTCTTCCTTATAATAATCTGTATATTTGAAAGTAAGGGGATACATTCATTTTGGAGCTAGGGTGATATTTTTATGTAGTTCACAGTTACTTCTGTGTATAGTTGTTAGCACTTCCAGGAATACTTCTTCCACCTCTACCCCTGGGGCAAACTTACTGAGCATTGCAACATGAAAGAGTGATACATCTTGATTCATGATATGAATATATTCCACTAGGCCTGGTACCTGAAGTATGTAGGTAATAGAGGAGAAATATTGTTTGAAATGTACAGAGTCAGAAACTACTCTGTGGAAAATTCTTCCACTCATGAGATGTTAAAATTGTAAGCAGAGAATTTGGTTGTCATTGAGCCTTGTCAAAAAGGAAAAATCTCTCTCAGTAGAAATATATTCAATATGCAGTTTATACAATTGTAAATGTTACCATATTAAAAAGAATCCTGATGGAAATCATGCAAAAATAGAATTTATCAGAATTCTTTTGTTTGTAGAACACAAACCTATAGCAATTATAATTATTATAAATATTAGCTTTTTTTTTTTTTTTGCGGTACGCGGGCCTCTCACTGTTGTGGCCTCTTCCATTGCGGAGCACAGGCTCCGGAGGTGCAGGCTCCGGAGGCGCAGGCTCAGCGGCCATGGCTCACGGGCCCAGCCGCTCCGCGGCATGTGGGATCTTCCCAGACCGGGTCACGAACCTGTGTTCCCTGCATCGGCAGGTGGACTCTCAACCATTGTGCCACCAGGGAAGCCCAATATTAGCTATTTTTTAGTAGACTTTCATTAGAGCAGATTTAGGTTCACAGCAAAACAGAGTGGAAGGTACAGAGATTTCTTATATATTTCCCACTCTCTCCCTCTCCTGGCCCCAGAGCCTCCTCCATTTTCAACATCCCCCACTAGAGTGGTACATTTGTTACAAATGATGAACCTACCTTGACACATCATTATCACCAGAGTTCATAGTGAATATGAACTTTTGTACCTAATTTTATAATCATAATTTTATATTTTTTATTAATTAAGGCTCCCCAATTTTATAAACTTCAGGATCCACAAATATTTGTTTTTCAACAAGATGATTTATGTTTTCCCTTAAGTTCTAATCTCTATTGAGATATTGTTTTTTCTCCTTACGCAAATATACAAACTTGAAATTGCCCATAGTGATCTCTCCTGTTTATTTATGGCCACTCTTCCAAATTATATTTCAATCTGGGCGGAAAATTTCATTAAGTGCTATTTTATGGCTCACTGTGAAATGTCAATCATTTTTTCTTTAAGCAGTTTAGATATGTTGGTAATGCATAAAATTAATTCATAAAGGAATAACCTAAGTTTGTTGATACATCGTTGACAACTGGTTTTAGTACAATAATTCTCAGCTTTGTAATCACAAAAGTAGGTATAGAACAAGAACAATATTTACAAGTCCAACATACTCATGAAAAGAGAGGAGCCCAAATGCAAACCTGATCCCAACACTAAAGAAAACCACAGCCTTCAATTCCTCTTTTAACATTGTTTTCATGCTTTCAGAGTGGAGCATAATCCAGTTCCAATGTCTTTGTAACCCGTACCTCCCTTCACATTCTCTCCAAGTGTAAGACTGGGGTTTCATTGGGTCATAAGGGCCTTAGGAAGCTAGGGAATGAAAGGATTGCAATGGGTTAGTACCTTTTACCTAGTCAAAGTTCCAACATGTGGGTCGTGCTTTGAAATTTCAACTGGAATAATGCTGAGGAAGTTTTTTGTAAATAATAAATGTTGTACAAAGGTTACTTTGTTGATGTTACTGTTGTCATTATGATGGGCATAACTTTTCATTTCTGTAAGATCAAATAAAAAGAATTGTTCACTTTGTATCAGAAGAGATTTAGCTCTTAATGGAGAAAATCCTGGCACTGAAACAAAGTAATAAGAGGCATAACATTAAAGATGATTTGCTAGGCTTTGACAGTGAAGGTTATTGTAGGGTAGAGAGAGGGGGAAAAGACTGGAAATAATTGCATGTACCTACTTATTTATTTGGTTCTTTCCAGTCTCTTTGAGGCTAACTACAATAAGCAGAAAATTAAATCATGTTGACTATAGCTACACAAATGTATTTTGGTATGTATAAATGTTAAGTCAACACCAGTAGTTATAAGCATGACTTGCAAGGAAGGAAAGATTCACTTTAAGGAAAAAGCAAATTATTAGGAGGAACCAAAAAATAGTCAGGTTTTCTACACTTGAGAGGAAATATCTACCTAGAAATTAAAATGAAATTGATTAAAATAATCCTTTACAGACACATATAGAGAAATACAAAAATGTCTTTTAACATGTCCTATCAGACTAAACAAAATGTGTTTGTAGCTCTGGTTCTACCATATTCACTCAGTACTATTAAATATTTCACTGAAATGATATCTTAAAAGAAACAACTGTTTAAAAAGCAATTAAAAAAATCAGTCAGAAAAAATTGTGATTAATTAAAGGTATGATTCAGATTTGCTTTGGGGAATATTTGGGTGATCTGAGTTTATCTATGATGAATAGCATTAAGTTCTAAGACAGACTGTGTTTATACATTTTCAAATCTTTAATCGTTTAATTTGGTTAAAAATTCATATTTATATAGGTATGGAGTTTAGCAAATAAATGTGATTTGTTCAAAATTTGGTTTCATGGTTCAGTTCTGTACAAACCACTCATATGCATGACCCCAAACTGCAGGGAAAAGATTACTCCTGCAGAAAAAAAAGTCAGAAGGGGAATATTTATCATGAATAATTTATATTGACACAAGGTTATAAAACTGATGTATTATCTTTATCCAAATGCAGAGTAAAATGTATAATCAGGGTAATAAAAAACAACCAGTTCAGCATTATTAAAACAAGACTTAATAACAAATTCAGCATAAACAAAAGGAACTTCAGGATCCTACGCACTGCAGTTGAGCCAATTTTATGACAGACTTGTTTCTGAAGCAAGGCAGATTGTTTTGGGCATATCAGCCTTGGGTGATCACAGTGCTGTGCTGACTTCATTGTCCAATCCTCTCCCCCTCACCTCTCTGTTTTATTTCTTCCCCTCTAATATAGTCTTTGAAAACTTCACACAGAAAAAAGTGAGGAGGGGAATGCAGAGCAAATGATTTTCTGAAATTTCCTTTCAAAATGGGTAGTTAGGACATTTGAGAGGGAAGACAGAATACATGTGAATATAATCTATTATGAAGGAAGTCGTCACTGATTATGATAAATAATATTTTTGAGGACATGAAATAAAAGATGACATGTGACCAGATTTCTCTTCCAATACTGGAAGGCATATTGAAAGGAACCTAGTAAATAGACTACAGAGCCTTAAAATGAGTTTTTAAAAATACAGTGTAATATTTGCTTATTGCATTGGTTTTCCAGTTTTCACTATAACTCCCTCTAATCTTCACAACGACTCTGTGAGGTGACTCGGGTGGGCCTTTCCTTTTGGTCCCCTGAGGGGAGGTGGAGATGCTGGGATAGGCTCCAGCCAGGGCTGCCGCGGGACCGTGGGGGTCATTCACGGATCAGGGCACCAGCCCCCTCAGCTCCCAGCTTAGCTGACACCAGCCTCTGGGATCTCACAGCTGGCGAGGGCAGAGGCCGCGGAGAGCGACTGCTCCCCCAGCCGTCTCTCCTCGCAGCGCGGATTCCTCTCCACACTCCGCACGCGAGGGCCGGCCGCTCTCAGGGAAATGCGAAGGTCGGCGACGAGGCGGTGGTCAGGGCACTGGCTTTGTGGCGTCAGCGTGATCTGGGTTTAAATCCCCAGACGTTTCTTTATTGTGCTTCACTTTAGGCAATCTCTCTGAGCCTCCATTTCCCCATCTGGAGAGCGGGCATGCTTTGATTCATTCCAAGGGGTTCGCAGACCATTGAATGATTTAAAGCAATAAAAGTCTTTGCCTACTGCCTGTGTCGAAGAAAATGCTATAAATATTATTAGCTCTGGGATAGGTAGGTGACCATCTCTACCGGCTTGGGGAATCTCCATCTGCAAAATGGGCGCAATGTAGATTGCAGTCTCTTAATAGCAAACGTTGCTTTGCCAGAAAACCCCTACAGCCAAACCCCTCACCATCCCTCCCCACCGCCCTGCTCCCGCGCCCTATTCTGACCGACCAGTGTTTCCAAACTGGAGGAGCGGATCCGGAATTTAAGGAAACATTCTTATCAACCAGGGAAATTGAAAAGTGAGAGTGCAGGACAGGGTGGGTAGGGATGGGAGACAGGGGAGGCAAGGAAGCCTCACCGCTGCTTCGAATGGGTGCGAACCCGGTCGCAGTCAGGTGAACCGCCCGCGCCCACTGCTCGGCCGGTAAGCCTCGGCTGGGACCCTGTAAACCGACCCTCAGGACCCGGAGCTGGACCCTGGGAAAGGAAACTGAGGAGGGAGGGGGAGGGACTTTAGGGGTAGGGGCGGGGCCTTCAGGGAGGGTCTACCAGAGCTTGAGGGGCGGAGCTGAGGCTAAGCGGGCAGGGCTAAGGGCGGGAGCTCGCAGAATCCTTCGGCTGCGCGCGCCACGTCTCTCTCTGCGAGCTGGTTGGGGAGAGGCGGGGGGCAGAGGAGGGAAAAACCGCGCGGGGAGGGAGCTATCTCTTCTCGCGAGAGCTGGGACCGCAGCGGCGGTGGCGGCGGCGGGTCCGTGAGAGTAGCGTGGGGGCGGGGAGGAGAGGCGGCGGCGGCGTAGGAGCTACGCCACACGCGGCCGGGGCGCTGGGAGCTCGAAAGCAGAGCGGGGTCGTGGCGGCGGTGGTGAGACGAGGGAGGCGGAGGAGGGGGTGCCATGGCGGGGCAGCAGTTCCAGTACGATGACAGCGGGAACACCTTCTTCTACTTCCTCACCTCCTTCGTGGGGCTCATCGTGATCCCGGCCACATACTACCTCTGGCCCCGAGATCAGAATGCCGGTGAGTCCTGCCGGCAGCAGCCCGTGGACACGCGCAGGCTCCGCCGGCCCCACCGGGCCGCGCCGTTCCCACCCGCTCCGGCCCAGCCCGCCGCGCCCGGGGTGATACCGCCCGCGCGGCCGGGCCTCAAGTCCAGGCGTCCGCCGCTGGCGGGGCCCGAACTCGGCGGTGTTTCCCTCTGTGCCTCTCCGGGTTCCTCTCCACCCCCTTCATTGTCCTCCTCGGGAGTTTCGCTTTGCACCCTGTCCCCCATTGTTCTGGACGCTCCTTACAGCCTCGTTTTGCCTCTTTGTCTTCTCTGCCTCCAGTTTTATTGGGTATTTTTCTTTACGGAGGGAGCAGGGTGGGATAGGGTGGATGGGAATTGGGAGGTGAGAGAAGAGTTGGCCAAGGAGGAAGCCGAGCGTGCAGGCTCCACTCTGAGCCCCCAGGCCACGGTCTTCTTACCCCCACAGCCCAGTTTCCCTGTTGCAGCGGTCGTTACAGATGTTTCGGGCACCGTGTGAGCTGGGTGGCAGGTATAGGACTCCATCTGAGCTCGCCAACCGCCCCTCCCCCCGTGCCTTTCCCCCGTTGCTTTTTCATTTGTTCACTCACACTTGGGGGGGGGGGGGTTGGAAGCAATGCCGTTATTCCCCTTAGGAAAAATTAGGCTTTTCTCTCTATTTCCGTTTCTTTGGAGTTTCCTGTTTATGGCGGAAAAAGTGCAAGTATGAAGGAAGGATTAAGTCTTCTAGGTAGTCCAGTTGTGAGGTAGCTGGTACGTTTGCTTTTAGTTCTGAATCTTTTCACATTAAACAACATCGGATTAGAACACAGAATTATTTAGATTCTTTGCAAGGCATTTTATGTTTGGGTTTTGGATTCCGTTTGTTGCACTCTACTAGGATATATGGCAGGTGATATTCTTAAAACCGATAGAACTGCAAGGCCTTAGTAGGTTGTTTGTGGTAGCGTTAACAGTAACAAGTAGCTTTTGAGTAAGAACATTTAGGGAAGGCTTTCTGTTTCACAAGAGCTATGCTAACTTGAATAAACAGATTCTCTCAAGTTGGGTGTGGTGGGAGTCTGGGTTGTCCAGGTGGTATACTGTACTTAGGGGACACTGTTACCAGTGAAACATGGAATCAAATCGGAACTTGTTATGCTTTAAGACTGATTCAGTGCTTTTAGCTACTTACAGTTTCACAGGAAAACTAAGTAAGCTTCAAAAATCAAATATTAAAATATCCTGTTGTGTTATTCAAAATTACTACTACAGATCCACATGCTTTATTCAAAACGCTTGAGGACAGGTATGCTACAGAGTTTTTCAAATTTTAGAAAGATAGTGCCTACCCTAACAAGCCTTTAAGGGTCTAAAACAGCACCAATAATCAAATTAATATCCCAACAGCAAAATATGACTATGAATAAAGGTTATAAGTAGCCTTCTATCAGTCCGAGTCACCAAATTATGTTCCTGCAAACATCTAGGCGTGTAATTTTGAATTTCAGAGTTCTTATGGCAATATTGACTTTTCAGGGGTATCTTCTATATGAAAGCATAAAAAGATTTACCCAGCAATTGTACAACATTAAAGTTGAGTTTAATCTTTGTTTAGCTTTTTTAAAAGATGACACATTTGGGGGCTTTCAGTTTCAAGGTGACAGTTGTTTCAATGTTGCTCTTTTGGAATTGTTGGGCTCTTGAGTCCATCAGAAAGTATGGCGTCATTTCAGATTGGAAAATGTAGGGTTTGACAAATAGAAATAGCTTTGTCATTGGCATATTTGACGTGTTAATTGAAGTTACTCTGTTATCCAAAACATTATCATTGGAATCCTTTTGCCTTGATTTTTGTCTAATCCGTTGGGCTAAGTGTGCTTATAATTAATACCCCTTTTGGTAGTTGAAGGGTCCTATTTATCTTACTCTCTTGGTTGTTTGCAAATTGGCTGAATAAGATGACTGAATACTTTTTCAGACCTTTATGGGCAAAAGCTCTGTGTGAAGTAATAATATGGAGGGTTTGGATTTCCTTAGAATAGTGGTTCTTAAACCTGACTACTCATTAGAATCACTTGGGGGACCTTTTAAAAACACTTAGACCCATCACCAGATATTGTGATTTAGTTGGTCTGGAGTGGGTGCTATGTATTGGTTTTTTAAAAGTCCGTATGTAATTGTAAATTGTAACTAGGTTTGAGTAGTGTTGCTAAGGTAGGTAGTGGTCTTTTGTTGGAGTTGTCATTTTGGGAGGTGGTGTATTTCTTTTGATATGTGCACTTTCCTGAAAACAAAAAAACCTCTAATGTCTTAGCTTTTTTATTTTACAAAGCTAAGAAGTACTTACTGTAGAATAGGGCTGTAAAATTCTTGTAGTTGAAAGTAGAATATTTTTGTTAAAGCAACTTTAATAGGTTTATAATGATATTTGACAAGAGAAAATAACTGTTTCTAATTATTAGAAATTCAAATAATCCAGAGAGGGCTTTTATTCTTTCCATAAGTTAAGGATTATAGATCCTTTGAATTGAGATAAAATATATCACTGCTTTCCCCAGATTTTGGAGGTTTTTTTTTTTGACTCCTTGATCTTACTTTTTCAAAACTGCCAAGTTTTGAAACCTGGATCTGCCAATTACTGTGTTATCTTAGGCAAGTGATTTAATTTCTGTGTTTTAGTTTACTCATTTGTGAACTAGAGACAGTAGTTATCTGTTTTATAGAATTAAATTAATAAAATAGATATATGTAAAATGTTTAGAACAGTGTCTGACACATATTGGGGTTCTTAGCTCCTGCTGTTTTTGCTGGTTACTTAGACTTTGTGGAACAGTTTGATTTGGTACACTTATGTACTCAGATTTTTTCCCCCATTGTTTGAAAGGATTAATGAAACTTTTTAAAAAAAAGTTACATTCCTTTATTCTTCTTTGCTTGCTCCCTCTCAAATAGTGTACAAGTGATTTAGCTCTCTGACTTGGGAATGTGAATAGGAGTTCACTTTTAGTGTTTAGTAGTAAAGTAAAAAACGCTGTATTTGAAGTTAGAAGTTTTGGTTTTAAGTTCCAGTCTAGTCCCTGTTTAGTTGTTTCTGAACTCTCATCCTCATTTTCTAGGGGTGATAATAATAACCTGCCCTACCTACCCAAGAAGTGATTATGAGAAGCAAAGAAATAAATGCATATAAACATGCTTGCTTGTAAAACTAAATATGCTGTAGAATTTTCTTCATTTTGCAAGTATTTATAGAGCATAATACTTTGTGCTAGATGCTGCTTCTAGGTGATGGATCAGATTTTTTTTTTTAAAGCTTTTTTTTTTATATTTATTTTTTTATTTGGGGCAGCATTGGGTCTTCGTTGCTGCACGTGGGCTTTCTCTAGTTGTGGCGAGCCGGGGCTACTCTTCGTTGCGGTGCGTGGGCTTCTCACTGTGGTGGCCTCTGTTGTTATGGAGCACAGGCTCTAGGCACATGGACTTCAGTAGTTGCAGCACGCAGGCTCAGTAGTTGTGGCTCGCGGGCTCTAGAGCTACGTGGGATCTTCCCAGACCAGGGATTGAACCTGTGTCCCCTGCATTGGCAGGCGGATTCTCAACCACTGCGCCACGAGGGAAGGCCAATGGATCAGGTATTTAAGGGCTTATAGCTTTTTTCTTAGTAAGTTGCATATACTCAGTGCAGAAAAGATCAAAGGAACAGAACAAAAATTGCTTGTAATTCCATCACCCAAATCACCCAGAAGTGATTAAACATTTTGGTGTGTGCATCCCCTTGGGATGACTTTAGACATAGTCCCTTTTCTTGTTGGGGGGGAGACCCCACATCCTCCTCCAGTCTTAGACAGATAATTGTGATCCTCACCTCAGCATTGCTGCTGTTCATTGAATGTTGACTAGCCTCAAGGATGGGTAGTGCTGAATGCACTCACTATAGCACTTTAAACTAGACTCAAGTGTTATCCCAATTTTATTAATGAGAAAATTGAGCCCTAGAGGAGGTAACCAGCTTGTCTAAAGCTATATTGCTACTAGGTGGAAGATTGAGTGTTGGACCCAAATCCATCTTATGCCAAAGCTTCTCTTGTTAGCCACTACCTTATACTCTCTCCTGTAATTACTATAACACATTATAATAAGTATTAAAATGATAAGTGGAAAGTGCTGTGGGAGCACAGAGGAAGGAGAGAATAATTCTGTTTGGGGATTTGGGTGTTTAATGTAGAGGAGTTGATTTGAGATAGGTCTTAAAAGGTAAATGGGAGAAGTGCATTCCAGTTGTAGGGGAAAGCATATGCAAAAGCGTGGAGATGTTCAGTAAGTGGTAAAGATTTAATGTGATTGGCACTTAGGAGCAAATCAACCATTTTATACTTCATCCTATAAGTTATTGGGTAAATAATGGAGGTTTTTAAGTAGGATAATTTACATGGTCAGTTTTGCTTTTGTGGAGCTTTGAGTGGAGAATGGTTTGGTAGGAGGTGGTGGTGTCTGGGTGGGGAAAAACTAGATGGAGAAGGAATCCATTTCAGAGGCTTATTAGTCCTTTGAGATGTCAGCATATAGGGGAATGAGCAGGTTAGAAAGAGAATTCTAAGATAGCATGGGCTGTTTGTGGAATATAAGTACCGTGGAGGGAATGAGAGAGTGGAGTGCAGATTTTGTTTTTTGGTATTTTTTTGCGGTACACGGGCCTCTCACTGTTGTGTGGCCTCTCCCGTTGCGGAGCACAGGTTCCGGACACGCAGGCTCAGTGGCCATGGCTCACGGGCCTAGCTGCTCTGCGGCATGTGGGATCTTCCCGGACCGGGGCACGAACCCGTGTCCCCTGCATCGGCAGGTGGACTCTCTACCACTGTGCCACCAGGAAAGCCCTGGAGTGCAGATTTTGAATTTTTCATTCATTTCTGTTTTGTTTCTCTTCCTCTTAAAAGCTGTTTGGTGATTGGTCCAATAATAACATATTAACTTTTATCAGTTTTAGGGTTGAGTGCAGGGAAAAGGATGGGGATGA